ACAGATCCATGTTTACGCAAATCGCAATTCAGATTTTATTTCCCCTCCATCACCCCCAAGGGTACCGCGGACAGTTCTCCTTAGAGAGCCAATTCCATTCCATTGTGAGCAGACTCACAGTTCTAGACAAGCTCTATTCACCACCTGTCTTGTATTAAACTTTGCAAGTTTGTATCTTTCCCATTTTTTCATTAAGGATCATTCTGAACTATACTCACTTGGCAGAGCTGGTGCTTCGTTATAACCTGGAATGAGAAGGGAAAATGATTAGAGGGCAACTAGACAGGTGGGGAGGGAAGGAAGAGACAAGTAGACGCAAGGATGGTCCAGAATGAGCGGTAAAGAAAACTGTAAAGAAATCATCTGGTTACCATTGACATAGAGGCTGTCCTTGTCCAGGGTGTAGGGGCCGAGCTTGGTGATGCCATTTGTCTTGTTGCGGATTTCATGGTAAACACCCACTCTGTCAAACGGGGGAGCAGTGGAGTCGCGCCTGTAGGTGCAGACGGCATCTACCCCGGTGTCATTCCCAGCTCTCACCGGTCTACAAGAGAAAAGACAATGTCAGATTTGTTCATTTGTTTAAATTGTTTGCTAATAATGAAGAGATATGTTTCATTCTGGGATCTCATTGTTACCATAAGATGGTAATTCATAAGTACACCTATTACCGGAATCTAAAATAATCCCCTTAACGATGTTCTACCAATCAACAATGTAAATAGGCCATTTATAAAGCTCTAAGCATTCAGTCTCCTCCAGAAACCTATGCTGACATTAACATGTTCTTCTTCCAGCCACAGTCACAGAAGTATCGTAGGGCTTAATTATGGAAGAGGGAAATATTTCCGCTTTATTCTGATGCTAAACCAACTGATAGGAAATGTGTGCTCACACTGTAGTGTTATAAATAAATGTCAGTTCCTGGATCCTTACCTGTAAGCCGTCACTTCACATCTTATATAATCTGGGCCGATGCTGCTGCTTCCAAATATTGGGTTGAGCTGGCAAAGAGAGGATGTCATTAGTCTGTCGTACTGCTAATAGCAGCAAATACCCCAAACTGCCCAGAAAGGCTGTGAGAAAATCATACTTACCAAAAAGATCAAGGCTTTCTCAGTAGCATTGAACCGGGCAGAATGAGGAGATCCCAGTTGTGAATCATATTTGAAATTGGTTATGGTGAAGTTCACAGTGAAATGTTCAATTGCTGGAGCGGGGGTTGAGATTGGCAAAACAGCTGCAAAAAATGAAATAACAGAATGAAAAATCAATGATCTCAGCCCTTCAGACACACTGGAACACATCTCTAATTCCACAGATCCATGTTTACGCGAATCGCAAATGGGATTTTATTTCCCCGACCCACCCCCAAGGGTACCGCGGACAGTTCTCCTTAGACGACCAATTCCATTCCATTGTGAGCAGACTCACAGTTCTAGACAAGCTCTATTCACCACCTG